ACTTCGTTTGTCTAGCTGGCAGAAGCTACCTGCCCTCTGGCTACGATTCCTTTTATGATTCTGCATTAGTTCAGCATTTCAAATATGCATGAAAAATGTACAGCCCACAAAGCCTTAAAAATAAAACAGGAGACCAGCTCCGTCTCTCTGGCTACCATGCACAAGGAGGAAAATGAATGCAATCACAACCCTTTATTGCCCTCTTGGCATTAGCCATGACTTACCATCTGAGCGGGCAAGCGTCTAATTAACTGTTCATCAATCTCAAAGTTTTAAAAGCACTGTCATTTCCCTGGGACTGGAGATCTTCCTTCCGCCTGCTTTCCACTATTTGCAACGTGGAAATCTGTGTCTCAGTGGAACTTGCAACGAAGGGAAAGAAACTCCATGCTGCTTCTTTTTAGCCAAGCCCCCTCCATGTACCTACTCTGCCTGCTTCCTTCGATTCGCTCTGGGTGTGACTACTCCTCTGGCCTCTTTTCTACCCACAGCTCCTACGCCCTAGGAATCTCAGTTCACACATCTCCAGCCAAATGTTTTTCTTGCTTCATAATATTTTTGGAGACATAGCTGCCATAAGAGTTATTCCAATTATAACAACCTCCTGCTACTCTGACCATTTTTACACAAGCTGGGCCCTTATCAAGAGCGCTGTGGTGTCCAGCACGGTGGCCCCTGCCCATGTGGACGTAGAAATGCCTTTTAGGGTAGGAATACCTGCTANCAGTGATATACTGTATAATTCTAACCAATTCCATGGTTCTATCGCACTATGCTGAACAAAGTGAATGCCCTTATTTTGTGCATGCTATAATTAACTAGTATCTATTAATAACACAAATTATGCAAATGGTTAACTAGCATAACATTAAATTAGAAATTCAGAGATCATCTGGAGCATCAAGGCTCTGTGTTAGCAGCCCGAGTGAATACTGCAAACCAAAATGCTAACAGAACACGTTATTTCTCCTTAAAAAATCAAATTCAGGAGCTTTGCTTTGCTGCAATTTACCTTCAAGGTGATGAATTTTGCAAGCGATTTTGACACCTTGGCTCTCCCTCCATTCTGATACAGTTATAGTTTCAGTTAGCTTACCTAGGTACTTAGATTTGAAACTAGCTTTTTATGACTCACAGGAGAAAATATTTTTCAATTAAGAATTCAATCAAAAGCAAATGGAAAGGACATTCTTGGGTGGGAGGGGGGAGAGGGAGGAGGGAGGGAGGTTTNAGCACGGTGGCCCCTGCCCATGTGGACGTAGAAATGCCTTTTAGGGTAGGAATACCTGCTATGAGCTGTATCATGATGGGTCATGTGTCCTACGAGAGAAGGCTTCCTAATTTTTCTGGCTGACACTAGTATTATTATTCAGAACTTTATATCTCTAAATGATTTCACATTAATTGTACTGGCTCATCCCTATAACATGTCTGAAAGACTTTTTTTTTAAGTGTAGACTTTGATGAAAAAGTCCATAACTTAATCAAGGCATCTCAGATCACGTGCAGCAGTGAGTAGATAAGGATTTACCACCCACATCTTTGAGATGCAAAGGTTGGCCCACTATGCCACAAATGTCATCCTGTGAATAGACTGAACAATCAGAGACAATGTTTGCCCCCACAATCCTGATTTTAAAATATGTAATAGAACTTTTATTCTTTGTTTGTAATGTAATCTTTCATTAACATTTTAGTAATAAAATCCTAAGGAATCTACAACAAAGCTACTAGAACTAATGAGTGAGTTTAGAAAGATCGTAGGAAACTAGGACAATGCAAGCCTACTTGAAAAAGCTCATGGAAAAATCTGTATTATCTTTTAATACTATTTTTCCATGAACTTTTTGAGGTACCCTTGCATACAAAAAATCATATACCAGCAATGAGCAACTGGATATTGAAATAGTAAAAAAAAANCGTCCTTTCTATTTCTGGAGATGTACTGCTACATAGCAATATGAACGAATCTTAAATGCATTACACCAATTGAAAGAAGCTACACTAGGGCTGGCCCGTGGCTCACTCGGGAGAGTGCGGTGCTGATAACACCAAGGCCCCGGGTTCGGATCCCATATAGGGATGGCTGTTTCGCTCACTGGCTGAGCGGGGTGCTGACAACACCAAGTCAAGGGTTAAGATCCCCTTACCGGTCATCTTTAAAAAAAAAAAAAAAAAAAAGAAAGAAGCTACACTAAAAAGACTATGTAGTGTTCGGTTTAATTTGTACGACATTCTGGAAGAGGCAAAGCTATAAAAAAGAAATTAATGGTTGTCAGGAGTTGGGTACAAGCTGATAACAAAGAGGAGCTAGGGAATTTTGGGGGGTGATGGGGTTGTTGTACGTTTTGATTGTGGTGGTGGTTACATGACTGCAGGCATTTGTCAAAACGCAAAGAACTGTGCACTGAAAATAGTGAATTTTACTTTATATGTATGTNTGTTAGACATCAATTTAAAGAAAACATAAATTCTAAAAATCCTATGGGAAAAAGATAATGTGATATAATGATTTAAAAAATAAAATAAAATAAATTTAAAAATGCCAACTAGCAAAAATACACTTAGTTAAAACCAAGAGGAAAGCTCAGGATGAGGCATTGGCTGAACAGTCCTGAGCGGAATGATCACATATGAGGCGGAACCTGCTCCTCTCGGTGAGTGCCTCAGGCGTGCAGAAAAGGAAACGCTGCTTTTCCAATTCATTAACTCTAAAGAATCACAACCAAATCACCCGTTCATCTCACAAACTCTCCTAAATGGCATTTTGCGCTTGTTTATTTTCTAGTCCAAATAGTCTGTTCCTGTAATTTATGATTTGAAAAGTCGTTTGCTCTTTTACCCACTTTAGCAAACCCACAATATTGTTTTTGTGATCATGCAGAGTTCATTTCTCAACACAAATCTATTCTCTTTTCTTAGAGGAACCATAGAGGGACCAGTTTATGAACACAAAAATATATATGTCTGAAGATTCAGTAGCGTATGATTAGATGACTTAGGGGGCTGGCCAGTTAGCTCAACTGGTTAGAGCACAGCCTTATAACACCAAGGTCATGGGTTTGGATCCTCGTACCCACCACTCACAAACAAACAAACAAACAAAAAAATTAGATTATTTACACACTAGTCTAACATACATTGGTCACTCTTATGTTGGCAAAAGTTTTGCTCATCATTAATTTCCCTTTAAACTAGCACCTTTTCTATGTCAAGTGTAGAATGTACTAGAAAGAGCATGGACTGACAGGTATGAACACAGGGTTTTAAGGCCATTTTTGGCCCATAACTAGCTGTATGGCCTTGCTAAAATTACTCATCTCCTGTAACTAATATTTATCTCTAGCTCTGACTCTGTCCGAGGCTTCTGTTAGGAAACTTCGAACTCCTACAGACACACACCACCTCTCATGCAGCATTCAATTGCTCGGGGATATAGATTCTACTGGATCATTCATTATTACCCAAGCTATAATTATTACTTATTTGTTCGTGTACTCATTTCTTCAACTAGGTTTCTGCAACCAGACTATAAATTGTTTTAAGTGGAGGAAATTATATATATATACATCTTTGACTCTTTATAGCATCTATCATACAGCAAAAGCTTAAATAGGCCAGTTTGTCGATATAACTCCTGGAACTTACATATTCCAGTCTGAGGATATAATCACCTGACTTTGCAAAAAAATGCAGCTAAGTTTGACACACTTATGGAGTTTTTCAGGGCCTTCCCTGTGGCCATCCATCCATGGTCCCCAATCACTGTCTATA